TAATTAAATTACAAAATTGTAATTATATTTTTGATAGCCAGCCAAGGTATCTTGAGTTTTGTCCCGACTAATCGGCTGGTTGACTCGAAACGCCACCTGACAATGGTGGGTGCGTCTCCAAACAAAAGTTTTATACATTCACAAGGATTCGAATACGATGCCTTGGTTAAGCGACATCTAACTACTTACCACTTGAGTCAATCTTGTAAATTACAATATTGTAATAATTTAATGGAACATTGCTCGAAGGTTTCCATATTGTTGGGCTAGTCTCAACATTTAGCCCTTTCATTATATGTAAAAAATTCATGGTCTATCAATTGTACATATTCACTTTTTTTGTAGTACAATATATTAACTTATTGTCACATTAACATACAATAAATGATCATATTAATCCAACTTTAATGAGTATGCCAGCGAGATTAATTGGAATATGACACTAGTTTAATTACAGTTTTTAGAAGTAATTATAGCTAATTGGACTATGACACTAATCATAGTGGCTACAATTCCCTAATGAAGCATTTGAAACCAGTCAAATTAGGCGGTGGTTCCACTGACCCCACAACACAAAATTAATTCAACGTTAAAAATATTGAAACAAACGTGATATTTTTACTTTTTGCTGATTAATTAATCAGACTAAATCATTCTACGTTTTCAAAAGGTTTTACAATACCAAAAAATAATTAAAAAAAAATGAATGCATCATTAATGTTCTATACATGATTATAATAAAAAAAAAAATAGTATTCGACCTGTGCATTTGCACAGATGTAAATAAAGTATTGTGAGTTATTTGTATGCATATAATGATTAATGATTTTTGTTTCACTTTTTGCATGTCAAATTTACAGTTAAAGGAGTTGGAATATATATATATATATATATATATTTGTTTTTTTTTTTTTAAATTGTGTTTATTAGATTGGATGTAATATATATTTTGGTATGTATTTTTTTGGTGAATTATTTATTATTTATTTAAGAATTTCAAATACGTTTTTTTTTATTTTCCAAAAAAAATTAATTTAAATGTAACAACAATAATAACATCTAATCACAGAATACGGTCAACTGTCAGTAATCAAAAGTTTAAAATGATTTTTGTAATTATGAAGTGATTAGTGTGTTGATTATCTAATAATTAAATGAAAGGTTAACAAAAGTAACGGTTTTTTGAGAGAAAATGTAAAATTGCCACGTAGGTATAATTAAATAAGTTTTATTTAATGTATCTGCCGACTGCCAGCAATTATATATATAGATATGATCAAAAAAATAATCTTAATTTTGTGTAAAATGCACTATTGTTCATTTATTTGTTAGAAAATCAATCTCGTATCTTATTTTACGCACATAAATTAAATAGGTTCATTTTAACCTAAGGTAATGTGATGATAAGGTGGCCAAAGAGTTTCCCTTTCAAATGGGACACCAGGAATAACTAATAAATCATACTATATAGTATTCAACTTACAAGTTACAACCATATGAAACACGCTTTTTTCCTTCCCCTTAAATTCATTTGGACTTTTCTGGAAAATGTTACGGCCTCATTACAAAACTATTTCGTTGGGGTTCGTAACTATTAAATCATCTATTCCCGGTAGTTACATGATGATCTAATAACGGTTACGAACACCGACAGAATTATTTCGTAACGGGACCGTAGCATCTCCGGACCTTTTATTTCATTAATGGATTATTGCAAGGCTAATTTATTTAATTTATTGTTTGTGCAAAAAAAGGTAATCAATAGCTAAGATCCATGCTTTATTTGTTATAATATTATACATATAAAATGTAGATATATCAATGTAAATGTTAGGTAGAGATACATAATTGAGGACTTGCATAAAATTCTCAACTTCATATGTATTGCGTGGTTGTACTCTTAAGAATCACGCAATTGGTGAAATTTGGTGTTCGTAGTACAAACAGATGATAACATATAAAATGGAGTATGAAGTACCCAGACGGGCCGGGCCTTATTTGTTCTAACAATGTACTCGTGAACTAGGTATATTTATTTATTTATTTATATTGAAACCATATGTTTAGAATAAAATACTATCTCATTGTATTAACGGAAAAGAAAATAAAGAAGAAGAAAAATATATACAATAAAATGATTAAAAGCATTTAATGTGCTGGTAATGCAGATGTGATGATAATGACTGGATATGGAAGCGAACAAAAATTCCTATATGATTACTCTATCAAGTTAGGATTAATTTATTTTATTTATTAGTTTTCGAGCTCAGCTATCGAGTCCAGATGAACTCGTTTAACTCAGGCCAACAAAGCAAAATAAAAAACAACGCTCAAGATCAACTCAAGAAAAGCTTATTAATAGACATTTTGAAAATTGCTCGAATTTGGTTCGCATTATACGATATTTTATTCTAATGTTTTTTAAACTATATATTTAAAATAATCATTTTTTAGCTTATTAAGAAAGCATTTTATTAAAAATCAATACGTAACAATTGCTATAATAATTATTTTATCTACTTTATTGGTCATAGTCAACTAAAATAGCAAAAGTTACATTATTACAATCAATATAAAAATTAATATATAAGTTAAATCGTTTATATTTATATCGTTCATTTTTATAAAATTTATAATATATGGCATGTTGATGAAGACGAGCTCGCATTGGCCTTCATGGACAGATACGACCGTCTTCCAGCATTTATATGATTACTTGTCAAATAAATGTTTACTTTCCTAGGGAACCTAGGAGGATCAAACTCTTTTATTCTCTTGCTTGTACTTTGGTTCAGTACGTGGTTTTTGAACATAAGAATATTTCTCTTGCGATTTTTATCTCGTCTCCTTTTTCGTTAGTTGCGCTACACCACACGCTATTTATCTAACTTGTTATTTGAAGTATTACTTACATTCACATATTATACATATATAAAATTTATTTGTATATGTGAACATGATCGAATACTACTAATATACGAAACTATGCAAAGCTTGATTTTAACTTGTAATTTCAATAATTAATGTTCAAAATTTCTTAAACTCAATGTTCGACTCGATTATAGTTCTACTTATGAGCGCTTGGAGGAATTGCGGTACAGCCGTAGGCACCTCGAAATATGATTGACATGCTTAAAACATAGATGAATTTTAGAGCATAAAAGAAGTACAAACCAATAGGTCCATAGTATAACTGGTCAATAAAAATCCATGTTAAACTCCATGACCACAGTAAACAACAGCTTTTGCATGTCTAAATTGATACAAGGGCAATGCTATGGTTTGGTAGGCTTAAAGTTGAGCCCATTGTAAGGACCTTCCTATGTGAAGCCCATAAAACATCTACTCAAGAGTCTAGACCTCATTCATTTCGGCGTGAGACTCACTGATTTTATATTAATCGTAGTATTATAATAATTGCAAAAATGGATAAAAAGCTTTTAAAATAATAACAAAAGTTCATATTTGAATATTCTCATTCAATTTCTCAAATGGTTAAGGATTTTTTTCAAGATTATATTATTATTCATATTTTTTTTTTCAATAATTAAAATTGATAAATAAATTTATTTTCATATATAGAGGTAGATCTAGTATTTTTATTTAATATGGGAAATATCAATGCCAAAACAAAAATCTTCAATATATTATTAATTTTTTATATTAAATGTAAAAATTGGATACAAATAATTTTTTTTTTATCAAATTTTAAAACATAATTATAATTTATATTAGTAAGGTATTTACGGTTTTGAAGCTCCTAACCTTCAAGGATAAAACTCTCAACTTACATGGACTATTCCGATCAACCAAAAATTGATATACATGATACCAAAGCACACAAATATTATCAAACATGTAATTATGAAAACATCAGAAGATGGCACTTAGCTCAGAATATGGGATTAATGAAGTTTTGCATGATCATGAGAGACATTGGAATTTTGTGAAATATGATATTGGTATCCAATGCTAAAAGAAGCAAGATGAACAAGAAAATATGAATAGGGGCTGCAAGTTCTTACAGAACAATGAGGACTTTTAGGGCGTGATTGCCGATTGGATATGAGTTTTGATCTAACTCGATCGGTTATAACCAGCTGAGTCATTTCATATCCAATCACATAATAACTCAACCTAACTCTCATATTTTTCATAATTATAATTAAATAATAATCATTCATTCTCACACATCATACCAACTTTAATTCCTATTCATCCGCTCACATAATTTAACTTCATATCACTTCCTACTATCTCTCTCGTACTTTTATATCATATATGCTTTAATCATAATATTTTAAGTATTATTTAATTTCAAATTTATTTTATTCAGAATAACTCACTTTAACTCACCAAGTTAATATCTTCCCACCGGTTTATCAGACCAAGTTTTTGCTGGATTTATACTCTTTTGTAGGTTTTAGTTGTTGGGTGGGTTTTAATCATCTAACAATTAAGGATTTCAATGTTTAGATGGAAAACAAACTTAGCCCGAGAATCGGTTCTATTAGCCATTTTGTTTACCGAGTTTTTAGTTATAGTCTCAAGTTAGGAAGAGTTTGTCACTCCTGTTCGTTGTCCTCTTTGTTCCTTGTTCTGTTGTTCTGATGTTCTGTAGGTAGATTTGTCTTCAATTGAGTCAAGTCAAATATATATATAAGAATTTTTCACTAGAAGATAAAAGTAGGAAAATGATGGGCATTCTTTTTTGTTAAGCTGTCTCCATCTTCCAAAAGCATGCAATTCATATTTAACATAGCAATAATGCAAAGTGGTCCAAAGCAAACATTGACAAGCCACTGGACAAATTTACAGTAATATAACAGTACAAGCCCCAAACTACAGCAGCATTAAGGATGAGGGAAATAAAAGAAACAAACATTTTACGTACCTCTGACAAGAAATAAATGTGGACGCGAAACCTACGGCTTGAGCTACTTGTTGCTCATAATAAACACGGTGATGAAGACCATGAATCTAAAGCAACTCTCAGAAAATCAGTCAACTTTATAACCTTGTGCAGATTCCTCTCGTAAAACTTTGTCTTGTCGAATCTTGGATTTTTGTTCCTCTTGCAACTGGACAAGGTGGAAAATTAAAATTCTTAACATATAAAAATGAGAACACGAACCGTAGGACACGTAGCTCGCGATAAACAAGCACGATACCAGAAGCACAACTCTTGTAAAAAACATCATTTGATATGAAGTAAATTGTCGTAAAAGTATAAGTTTACTCGATTATAAGTAAAATAGTGTATCATCTAAGGTCCAAATCAAAGGAAAGGTCCATTACCTGCTGGAGAACCTTCTTTTGATAGCGGTATCCCTGCAATCACAAAATAAACAAACAAAAAATGAAATAAATTTACAAGCCGTTCTATACCTTTCTAAGTGAGCATATGATATATTCCAGTGATTACCTTGTCAGTGCCATAAATGTAATCGCAATAGGTAAATACTGATGCAAAATTACTTTGACTCTGTCCACCAACATAATGATGGTAATCATGGTAATCTGGACCCCCGTAAAAAGGGATATACTTCGTTGGAGTCCAAGGTAAGTCGTACCTGCATCAATTATACTCCGTCATGAACAAAAGCAGCAGAGTCATAATCCTTAGAATTAGAAAGACGCACACCGAAAGAGCAATGATGGTAAAAGCTTACACATTACCTGGCAAAGTAAAGCAATTTTTTCACAAGAAAAAGAAACTGGCAAGTTTTATCATCCAATGCTTTATGCAAAATGATTCAGTCATTTTAAATCCACAGCAGCAAACAGAAGTATAATACAACGGATCTTAAGTATTTCGCCCCACAGACAAAATATGTTTGATGTAACCATCAGAAGAACATCCTACAAACTTAATGCTATTAATATCCAAGTAAATTGAGAAGGTGGTGGTGGGGAAATAGCCAGCAAGGCCAATGATGCAGACCAGATTACACTTAACTCAATGGACTACAGATTTGCCTAGATTTTATTTCACATGAAACGTTGATATGCCAAATTGTGACTAAAATAACATGACAATAATCACCCTTCGATAAGCTCTAGAAAAGGTAACCATAAGAAGATTCATAATTGGAGGAATTGTATCCGCATTTATGCGATTAATAGGAGCTGGAGAATATTACGAACCATGGAAGATTGATGTGATAAAAAAAAAAAATGTCAGTGTAGAAAAAGTTCGTCTTAGCAATCAAATGGAACAAACAATTTCTCAGCAAATTCTTTCAAATCAATACTTCATTCAGAGAAAGTACAATTTTACATCACTGATAACTTACGAGATTAAGAAAGTATCTTTGACACGATGTACTATTCAAAAACCGTCTCACATGTATGTAGAGGCTACAAGTCTACAACAGAAAACTTAAGTCTCAGTTTGACCACACAAATGGAGAACTCTAAGTTTCTGCGAAAAAAAAACCATAAAAAGGACAGATGATCTGCAACTACATTTTTTCATGGCATGCATGACTGAAACAGACTGACTTTATTACACTAAGTTTACAGTGAAAGCCCAACAAGCTCACTATTCATTAGCAAATAAACACAAGCTTCACTACTATCAAAGAAACAAAATGACTTTATTATACCGAGTCTGCCATAGATGCATGTATGCGTCACTAATAAAATTGGCCCAGAAGCTAAATAATGGTGTTTTAAACAAAAGAGAGTCTGACAGGCAACAAACATCCACACCTAACAACTAACATCACCTTTCGGTATAGGAAAACATAGGGAGCATTCTATTACCCATGCTACAACTTGGAAAACATTGAAGGTGTTGTAAGAAGATAACACTACTAACATTTACATTCTATTGATGTGTTCCATGATACTAGACAAACACCGTCTTCAGAGTAAATTCATTAGGGATAACCAAGAAGTCCATGTCAAACGTATATGAAAGGAAAACAGTAATTAAACCAAACTGTAGTAAACGACAATGAAACTAATAAATGAAACACTA